CAGCCCCCAACCCGGGGGCGGGGCCACCCATACACCGCGTGCCCAGTGCCGGGGCGCCATGCGAGAAACGAGCCACCCACGTGCTGCGCGCCCGGGGGCAGGGCCAGCCCCGATCACTCGGCGGGCGCACAGACATGGCCAGGCGGGGCCCATGGGCACCGTGTTGAGAAACGCCGCTCTCAGAAGTTCCCTAAGGGTTTTGTAGCATAGGCCTGGCTTGCACTGGCTTCTAAGCATGACTGGCTTTGCCGGGCTAGGGGATATCTGTCACTGGCTTTCTAGAGCAGACCTGCTCAGCATTGATCCCCCACTAGCAACCCAGGTAACACATTGGGGTTGTTATTTCTGAGCAGTTGATAAATATGGAGACTTAAGTTCTTGCCCTCAGGAACTTAAATACCACGGAAGAATGGTCCTGTGTAGAGCACAGGACTGCAGGACAGTTCTTAACTCTGTCAGACCCATACTGTGTCATGGAGCAAGTCATGTCGTTTCTGTCTAGGGCAATGTCTGTGCAGCTCCTGGGAGCTGTGATTCCCAGCCTGAGTAGAGAGACTAACTCCAGCTCTGCTTCAGCTAGCACGGTAAAAATACCAGTGTGGCTGTTGTGGCTTGGGCAGCTGAGCCGCCCAAGCTCAGCCCCAAGTGGTCAGGTAGGGTTGACCTTTGGTGGCTAGTAAGGAAGTGAATGGTTAACTAGTTAACTGGTTATGGTTAACCGGCGTTTAACCAGTTAACTGATTAAATGGGATTTTACATTCCTATTGGCTTGCCTGAACCACCACCCAGGGCTGACTGGACAAAGAGACTGGAGCAAAGAGTAGTGGGGATGCGGAGGTTGGATAAGGATACTGGCACTGGAAGACAGTGGGGATCTAGAGCATGGGGGGGGGGGAGGACTGGAAGGGAGGGATGTGGGGGAACAGACCAATCAGCCAAAGAGCTGAGAGGGAATTGAGATTGGTGGGGACAAGGGTGGAGGGATTGGTCATAGGATGAGGTGAGTCTGTGGCTTGCTGGGAAAGGAGACAGGACTGAAATGAGAAGTCTGACGAGTGGAGACTGGGTGGTGAGGGGACTGAGACTAAGATTGGGGGGTGGGGAAGAGAAAGAGACTGGTTCTGGGACATGGACACGTTGGAGGGGAAGGGGCAGAAGCTTGGGAAGATATGGGCTAACTCAGTTCAGTGAACCCACCCTACTGTTAAACTGTCCCATCCTCAAGTGCTGCTCCATGTAGAACAGGGGTGGGCAAAAGGGCCTCCACGGGGTGGATCTGGCCCGCGGCGGCCCTGCCACTCCCCCAGGCTAATTAGAGCCTGGGGGCGGGAGAGCGTGTGAAGCCTCCTCCCGTCCTGCCGGGAGCATGTGGCGCTTTGAGCACGTGGCTTGCAGGGCATGGGCAGAGCGGAGGAGGTTTCACGTGCTCCCTAGGTTCTATTTGGCCTAGGAGCAGGGGAGTACGGAAGTCTCCTCCCATGCCAGGGGCATAGGCACCTAGGAGGAATGTCGGGGAGGAGGGAAGGGAAGGCAGGCACTCCCTTGTCCCCACACCAATCATAGTCTGGAGGTGCGGAACCTGGAAGTATCTTAACCCTGACCCTTCTGCTTGATGCCCCACCCCTTCCTGTGCGGCCCTGGCCACTTCTAAAATTTCTGAAGTGGCCTCTGGAAAAAAATTATTGACTACCCCTGATGTAGAAGATGACAACCTACTATTGCTGTCAGTTATTCTATTAGCTCCACTGACAGAGGTCTGTGTGATGGAGCTAAAAGTTCTAACCCTGCTGATAAACCATATGATTGTCACTATGATGGAATTTGTGTGGGTTTTTTTTCAATTTGCTTTTCAAAAACTTGTTTGTGTGTGTGTATATGTCTCTGTCTATGCCAGAGTTAAGGTTGCCTGTGAAACCTTAATTCAGCTCCCTTGTGTGCTTGCATTATGACCACGCACTATTTTTCCCCCAGGACACCTCTCTCATTTAGTGCACAAGCTGGACATGCCCTGGGAATGAATCAGGGTTACATGGCAAAGGAAGCTATTGTCTGTAGGACCCCTACCTCAAATAATGCCGAAGTTGGAAGGTGTCTAGGGAATGAGGTAGGGGATTGCAGGAAGAAAAGGAGAGCTCATCGGTGAGGTAGTTGAATGCTGCCCTGGAACGTTGGATTCCATCTTTGCTTCTGCCACAGGGTTTCTGTAGGATGCTAATCCAGTCACCTGAACTTTTCAGTGTTGGTGCTTGGTGCCTGCCCTACATGGGACCCTGTGGTCCAATTTTCAGAAGTAAAGTAATTCCTCATTTAACATGTGCCTGCTTAGCACGTTTTCATGATAGCATGAATTTTTTTTTTTAGGGAATGTTTTTTGAATTACACGACCATCCCCAGAATACCATGATTTCCCCAGCTGGCCTGTTGCCAGCGGCTGCGCGGGGCTTCCAAAGTGCGTGCAAAGTGTTGGAGGGTTCGTCGCTCGCTGTGCCATTTCCCGCTGACTCCCCCCCCATCCGCCCCCCCCCCTCGCTGGATGCAGTGCAGGTCCCGGCAGACCCGTCACAGGGGCATACTCCCAACCCAATCCCCCTCTCCTCTTCTCCCCTTCCCTTCTCCAGAGCCAAACACCACCCCTCCCTGCTGTAACCCAGTCACCTTTCTCCCCCAACCTTATGTCCCATTCCAACAGACACCACCGCTTGAAACGTAACCCCCACCTTTTCCATTATTTTCAATGGGAAAATTGACCCCGCATAACACGTTTTCACTTAACACGGTCATTTTCTGAAACACATCTAGCAAAAGCGTCCGTGGCCAATCTAGACGCGCTTTTCCGCAAAAAAGCCCCGATCACCATTTTCGTGATCGGGGCTTTTTTGCGCAAAACAAATCTCAGCTGTCTACACTGGCCCTTTTGCGCAAAAGGGACTTTTGCCCGAACGGGAGCAGCATAGTATTTCCGCAAAAAGCACTGATTTCTTACAGTAGGAAGTCAGTGCTTTTGCGGAAATTCAAGCGGCCAGTGTAGACAGCTGGCAAGTTTTTCCGGAAAAGCGGCTGATTTTCCGGAAAAACTGGCCAGTCTAGACACAGCCCAAGAGAAAACTAATAATCTTATCAGAACAGGTTTGAATAGTGTATAATAAATAAGGCCTATCTATGGCCATGCACTGAACTACAAAGATTTTAAAAAAATTAAATAGCCTACTCTAAGCACTGAGTGGTCGATCTAAGCCAGTATTCTGCCTTCAATGTCAGAGGAAAGCGCAAGAAACCCTGCAGTAAGCAGACATGGAATGATGTGCACAAGGCAAGTTTCTTTCGAGCCCCCATTAAAGGGTGACATGCCCTGAAACAGAAAAGTTTATATCCCATTCAAAACTCTTGGTTTATTTATTAACTTCTCAAAATCCTTATTGAAATTCTGGATACTCTTATACATCGCCTTATCAGAATTTAAAAAGGATGGGGTGAGTTTTTAGCCTCCATGATATCCTGTGGCCCAGTTTGACAGCCTAAGTGTGCATCATGTGACTGTATAAATAAAAATGAAAGTGATCAGCCTGACTTAATTGGTAAGCTTAAATACTTCTCACAATTTATGCTAATTTTTTTTTTGTAAGAAAGACTTCAGAGCTTTCAAACATGCAGCATGTGTTAGTAATTTGGACAAAGAAATATGTACCGTATTTTCCGGCGTATAGGGCGACTGGGTGTATAAGACGACCCCCTATCTTTTTAATTAAAAGATAGGGTTTCATCTTATACCCCAGCGCCCCTCCGCCTCCTTTGCTCCCGGTGTCCCTGGTCTGCTGGAGATGGTCCCCAGCAGACCAGAGGCACCGGGAGCAAAGCC